CGCACCTTACCTCTACCGCTACAAATGCATCTGTATGCCAACTGCACCCTATCTTAAAAGCTTCCTATTTAGATAAGTCTACTACATTAAGGTGAGTCGCAAAATATAAGAGAGGCACACGGATCTCTATACTCATTTTAAAAAAAATTGGTATTTGAAGAAAAAATTAAGAAATACATTTTTTGGTATTTGAAAAAAAATTAAGAAATACATTTGAAAAGGAAGCTTGCACATACAAAGTTTAGGAAAAATAAGATTTTCAGAATCACCTCTTACAGATTCCTTGCATATTCCTTGCAACATAAAACGTACCTATGTTGGAGACTGATATATGATCGAGCTTCCAACAGTTTCAAATGAGGGTAAGTAAATAGGATGGTTGAAGAATGAAATTGCAAGAACAAAAAGAACCATAAGCTAAAAAAAGAGAAGGAAAACGATTGTGAGTAAAAAAAGTAAGCAATCAAAGAAAGCCTGATACACAATCTTTGAATTCTCATAAAAGGAAAGACCAGTAGCAACACTTTTAGAGCATCAAAATAGGCTCAACCTCATGATTCTAGATTCTTGAAGACGATCCTCCTACTATTCGTTATACTTGATTCAGGTATAAAGTGACCTTTATATATTTTCGGATCGATATGTTTATATTTTTTTTCAACGATCGCTGTAAGCCAATATTACCTTTTGAATAATCTTGAGAGACATTTGTGGAGAGGGATTTGTCGTTAGGAAACTGACCATATGAATTTTTTTGAGAAACATTTGTGGAAATTACCAAGAAGGTTGGTCTAACCTTTTTTTTATTTTTTTCAAAATTGCCCCTTGTTCTGGGGAATTCTCTGTCCGAACTTTTATTTTTATTGTTATTTAGATTTTTCGTTAGTAAGGCAATGCCTTATCTTCGGACCAACAGATAATTTTTATTTTATTTTATTTAAAAAATAAATAAAAATTGACCGACCTTCTTTGTAATTTCTACTTATAAATGGAGCATTTCGTAATTTTAAAAAACAAATTAGGGCCAGTACATAAATCACTCAAAAATATAACACCTGCCGAGCAAGTGCATCATAATAGCTTCATTTATGTATGAAGAACACTCTCAATTTTATTCCGCTGTTTTATTAACCAAACTTCTTTTTCCAAGCAACTCTCATAATTGTAAGATTTTAACACGGAAGAATCTCCGATGATTGACAGGGGGAGATTTTTACGAATTTGCCGCTGCCTCTAGCAATTTGCATGAGCAAAGCCGAGACGATGCTTCTTGATATCATACTCCACCCACATGTTCTGCTGATGGTGGCTCCCAATTACATTGTGGAAGAAAGTTTGTTCTGCGATTTCCCAGACGCAAAGCACCAAATTTGATCTTCAACCTGCGCGAATACATTCCTTCTACCTATCCTCATCTCAGCCCCATCACCAATCTCCAAAAACAAGCTTGGCAAGCTCTTAATAAAAGCATCAATCTCCCTAGGCCCCACCTCATCACACAAATCCAACCCCAACATGGTGATATGGCTATGCTTCATCCACCTCTGAAACCTCTTGTTTTGAGACATGAATTCTTTCTTGAGAGGATCATAGGTTTGGCCTTTCAAGTATGAATACCCCCGAATCAATAATTGACTCTCCCTACTGGTGGTCGCCGTTTGGCAGCTGAGTTGATTTCCACACTTCTATAGTACTCTTCCCCATTCAAATTCTCTTCAACTTCAATTGGTATGCTTCCTTATCGCTTGTCGATACCAGCTTGGTGTACCGAAATGAGTGGGAATCGGGATTGTCTCCAATGTAAAATATGCCTGAAGAACGAATGCAATAAGAGAATTTTGAGATCTTGACTTGAGATATATAAGACAGTTTCCCCATGTTGAGGCCACTGCTGGAAATGGAAGAGTAATGTAAGAAAGTAGCAGTGTTTCAAAAAACGATACACAGCACTTAAGCAGTCGGGGGTCCAAGCTGCCCAGATCTTAGGCGGGGCCCAGTATAATTTTTTTGTTTTGGGATTTTTCTCTCTAAAATAGACTCTAAGGAGTTTTAGGTTCCAAATGAACCTAAAACCCCTTAAAACCCACAATTTTTCACTTTTAGTATTAAAAAAATGACTCAAAAATACTCGGGATGTGTCTAGGCATAACAGGGATATCCGCTTTTTTTGGACGGGCGCCTAGGCCTGAGCGCATAACCACCTACGCCGCCGCCCACCAGGTACAGGGGGTGGGCTTTTTGAAACATGGGTAGGATGTGATACCAATTACCATAGGAGAAGTTAAAAAGTTGTAAGAATAAGTTCTTTGGCTAGGTGGCCGTTTACAGCCATGGCAATATCAATAATGAAAGTGTGGGAGCACCTACTATTATGATCGCATTCCGTGAACTTGGAGTCTCTACATAAGGTGATGTGGCATGAGAGGGAGGAGAAGGAAAAGACTCAGAGGGATTTCAAGAAGAAGAGTTTGAGTTCCCATGCATAATCCAAGTGAGTATGCCCCCAATGTCAAGAAGCATTTGTTGGGGCCGAGGTGGGGTGCCGACGGTTACTGAAAGATAGGGGCCAGATCTATTCTTGAAAGAAGCTTTCAATTTATGGTAAAATTTCCCTGATGAAGATGGAGGTTGGAGGTTGGACGAGTTATACGAGAGAGGGCGATAAAACAGCGGCAGTGAGAGAGTCTTGTTTGAGTACTGATCTGTTAATGGTGTTGCAGTCACCATTGGAAAAGGAAGAGAGATGAAGATAAGAGAGGAGATAAGAATGAGGAAGGAGGATGCCATGGGATTTCTTGTAAGTTGGGAGGCAAATGGGGATGTTCATGTTAAGCTGGGTTTGGCTAGGATTTTTAGCTTTCCTTTTATAGGGGAATTTGATGCAAATGCTTAAGTGATGACTTCAAAAAAGTCCGGGCCTTGAGGCTTCTCTCCCCCATGATTATGGTGGTATAAATATTTTTCAAAAGATATGTAACCCTCTCAAGGGGAAAAAAAAAATACATGGAAAAGTATATAATGAGACCATTTACCTTTGGTGCACGGTGATCAGAATTAACCTTTATATAATGAGACCATTTACCTTTGGTGCACGGTGATCAGAATTAACCTTTATATAATGAGACCATTTACCTTTGGTGCACGGTGATCAGAATTAACCTTGAGCATTGAATGTGCAATTACTTTATTCTGTATTCTATGTTCTTCTCATGATATCCCAATAAACCCCCCGAGTCACAAAAGTTATGGTACAATATCAGGATGCACCAATAACTATCATGCAATAGTCATGAATCTAAGAAAAGAATTCGCATCGCATTAAATTAGTAATAAAAAATTGAAACATTAACAAAATAATAATAATAATAATATAAAATAATAATAATACACTTACACTGCCAATTATAATAGGATGAAGTTTCTATAGGACCCAGGCATTATGAAAACAAAATAAAGTCCCACCTCAAATACTCATCCGGAAACCACTTTGGGCATCGAAAATCGTCATGAGGGCTCTCAAATCAATTCTCAACACAGACAATAAATTTTGAAATTCAAAAAAAGGTCCAAATCATGCAGATCTGTTAATACTTTTTCTTAGGGTGAAATGGATGGTCTACATAATTTGTTGCAACATACACTATTTTTAGAACTTGAAATCATTTTTCTTTTCACAACCATGATGTTCAAGCTGAAATGATCGACTTAAAGGTTTTTTCAAAACTGCAATTTTTAATGAGTTATGAGGTCGGGCTTTACTTATTTTGATAAGGTTACAGCCCCTATCAAACCATTTTCCTTTACGATAAGACCCCGAAAATGAAGCTCCATGGATTTCTCTACCTGCCTATATGCCAGCGGAGTTCATGAGAAATGCATGGCCTTCAAACCTAAAACCCAAGTGTTGAGAATCACAAAGGGAAAAGCTCATCTCAATGCCTACAAGCACAAGGTAAATAAATGAAGAAAAGTATATAAAGAGACTATTTATTTTTAATTCAAAGGGATCACAATCACTTTTGCTTGTCAGATTTCAAATCTGGTGGATGTGAGTGTGGTAGCGACTAGACTTGGAGTTCAACGAAAATTTCGCTTTGTGACACACTCCAAGCCATCCAAATTGACATCTAATGGCTAGTAGCAATTGTGACCTCCTTGTGACAAATACAAATGGTCTCGTAGTATATGATCTAAATAAAAAACATTATTTTCATTTTAGTGATATATCAGAGGAAAAGAACAACACCATCCCTTCTTTTTTCCCTGTGTGGTAGGGAATTCTTTTTCTAAAATTATGCGGTACCATATAAATTCCAAACCTTAGATGCATAGTGTGCCAATGATACAGATGAGATGCATGAGACTTGAAAAGTTCAATTGACTACACAGAGTAGATTACTCACAAAAGATTCGATGGCGTCCGATACGTGAATTGTCTGCTTGAATCAAACAGATAATTAAGTTGGCATCACAAGTAATGTGGTGCACCTTTCCCTCAGAGTGGAAAGTATCCAATAAAAAGTCGTGATCATAGAAAATCTATGGTTTTCAAGGTCATCCACAGACCAGTAAAGATAGGGCAATGACAATAGGAGAATGGGAACCACTGTGGTTTTTTAGGGCATGTTTGTTTAGAGGAACATTTAACTCCAGAAACCAAACGTTCCTCATTACTGTAGCACTTCAGCATATGACACACCGATCTAAGCCAACTCAACCAGGTATCTCTCTCTCTCTCTCTCTCTCTCTCTCTCTCTCTCTCACAAATGGAATGTTCTGCTAGACTTGGATGTGCGCTTGGTGGTTATCTATGAAGAGTTAATTTAAAATTTACTTTATAAAAAATAGTTAATTTAAACATTGAAATTGGCTCAATTACATATCATGCACAAATTGAAGTATTGTTGGTCCTGCCATAATCACCTGCCTAACACTAACCTGATATGATTTAATTGAAAACATTTTAGATGTTATTATTTAAGCTTATGATTGGGAGCATAACTTTTGTATTTGCATAGATTTAGAAACTTTGATCTAGAATCATGTCAGCAATAACCAAAAAGAATATTACAGTGAAGTTGGTTCAACTTTAATATAAATGGTGCAATCCCACCAACTTATCTGTCTGTGTTCTCTTCAGCATGCCTTACATGGCTCATATCTAATTCTTCTCATGTCACTCTTGGTACATTAGTCCTCTCTCCATAATCCATTTTAGAGTTGGATTTTGGATCCAAAATTCGGGGTGGATATGCTCCACAATGGTGAACATGAATATTAAAAATGACTAAATTTTTAACAATATAAATTGACATCTTTGGATGTGTTTTTAAGACCCTCTTGGGTGGAACCACCATCGCCAACCATCCAATTTTGAGATGGATGGTTGGTGCATTGGGGGACGCTGCGTCCCCTGACACACGGTTCACTTTTCCTATTATGTTTGTGTTGTTTTGTCTAAAGGAATGGAGCTCATTCCTCATCTGGAACCAGACCTACAATGTCAGGAAATAGAGCAAAGCATAAGGTGATGGAAGAATTCCTCAATGGACCCTAATTGAGAGGGTTGCATTTCTCGATCTTTGTAGGCTTCTTAAGGAGAGTTTGTTGATTACTAACACGAGACATTTAATGGACAAACAAGTGGCCATTTTCTGCACCCTGAAACACGATCAACGTAATAAGGCGATCCATGAATGTTTCCAGCATTCAGAGCAAATGGTCAAACTTCTATTTCAACAGAGTTTTAATGTCAATCTTACAATTGAAACCCCAGATCTTGCAACCTCCAAGTAGTGAAAAACCTAAGCACATTTTAGATGATATAAAAAGGTTTTACCCATATTTCAATGTAAAAAATTGGGTTAATATTCATATAACTTTACGATATTATACAATTGAACTAAAGGTATTTCATATGACATTAATAGGATTATATCGAAGTGATTGACAAGACACACATCCCTGCACAGACCAGGAGCCAGATGCATAAACACGGACCAATTACTTTAATATGGACATGATAAAGTATAGAATTAAATGATTTAGACAAATCTACAGGAAGATAAAGATGCTCATGACCCATATCAGAATTCAATTGATGAGGAAACCAGAAGGATGACCGGTCCAGTTTGGGAGGAGTACGTACAAGTATTTTATTTTTTAATACATGTTTTATGACAATGTAACCTATTAGATTGTAAATTTGTTCATTTTATTTTTATTTTTTTGGGTTATTATACTTGCACAAGATAACGAATGGGCAGCCAATAACATGAATAGATGTTTTCCTCCTACCCATATCATGGACATTGTCTTCGATAATGGATTGTCCAGTGGGCATCCTAATCAAGGGAATCGACTAAACGTGCACAACTAGGTTCTACTTGAGTTTGAATGAGTTTTTTGTGGAAATATGGATGAGGATTCTGATATGAGCAAACTCTTTTTAATCATAACATATTATCAAGTGTACTTTTGTATGGGTTTGTTCATGGAGTCATATAATATTTGTAATAGCCACTTGACTTTATGATTGTATCTCATTATCAATATTAATGTAGTTTTCATGAGATGATCATGGTTAAATGCTATTGAAGCATTTCGAAATTGCTCTTCTTTGCATGTGACGGTGAATTGGTTTTAAGGTCGGTTATTTTTTGTACTCGTTGTCAAAGAAGAGGCTCGATCTAGCCGTTTCATTTTGTTCAACCTGCTGAGGATGCAGGGTGACTTAAAAATCTCCTCATAGAAGACATGTCAGCCTCATAAACGGTTACAACTGGCTTATTCCCAGATCTCCAAAAGCCAAATGCTCCAGGCTCAAACAAACGCAGGTTCGCGGATCTCCTTAAAATTCCAGATAAGTCATCAAACACATTTATTAACAGTCCTGAAAGTTAATGTTCCAGTTCCTGAGAAAGAACTTCCAATATCCAAGTAACATTACCTTCCAATTATCAAACAGGCCCTTAGAGATTTGGGGCAACCCACTTTCCATCATCATCCAACCACTAATTAAACAAATCATCACTCTCATGACCATGGATTTTTAATAGTCATGAGGATTGTAGCCTAGTCTCCCTTCTTTAAAACTAAACAGAGCAGGAATCATTGTACTGATCCAATTTTCAAAACTGAGTGACCATAATTAGAGATGCACTCACTTTCTTCATTCTTGTCTGCACACACACAGACATTCTTTTGTGTTAAAGTTAGAATCCCATAGCCATAACATTCTTATACCGAACCCTAATTGCATTGGATAGTGATGAGTATAACTTAGGATGCAACTAAGTCCGATGAAGCCCTGTGAATAAGCTGCTCAACCAACCAACCATTTCCAATAGCTGCAAGGCTCATCATCTCAGTTGTTGGAAATCCCAGACACTTAAAAACACTATACACTTCATACCACTGAGACTAATGAATAACATGCTCGACACACCATCCCTTCATAAGAAAATCACTCAATAGTTTTCCCAATTTATAAGCCTCCAAGGTCATATTTCTGAAAAGTAACACGAAATTCACCAAAAGACAAATTTTCATTCAAAAAGGAAGTAGCTAGCATTAACTACTCCACCATATCAAAATAACAAGAGGAACAAGTTTAGAAAATAAAAATACAAGAATTACACTAGAAGACTTACATAGTTAATACCAGCAAGAGAAAGAAAATTAAAAAATCCAATAAATGGACAAAAATCAGAATACCAAGCATGAAATTTTATACGCCGCCAAGAGAAACAAGTGAAAAGCATGGAACTTGGCCACATAAAATTATGAAGTTTGATAATTTTGACCACTAGAGAGTTACAGAATGAGTATAGCATCACAATTGGAAAAACCATGTTCAGACACCATAACTGGAAACACCAAATGCAGAATCCTGGACAAGGACAAGGCATTAAAAAGAGAAACTCGACTCAACTCAATGAGAGATTGGGCCATGTTAAATCTACCAACCCTAGAATACAAAATTCATAAATAACTAAAAATGTAGATCAATAAACTTATCAAGAGTTAAAAACATAACCTATTAAAAAAATTGATAGAACAAAGTGAAGTTTCGGGGCAAAAAAAATTATATTGGAGTTGAAGCGTTATAGCTTTATGGGAGCAAGGCTTAGAGGAAAGAATCCCCACCTAGGGTGGTGGCATTTGGACTAACCAACATAGAACAACTCAAAATGTGACTTTTTATGTCATTGTTATGGGAAGAAGGAGGATCAATGGACTCAGTTGCTTCCCCACCAATAACATAAATTGGGTCTGGATAATAGTATTTGTGGTTGGTCTCGCATTTCACTGCTTATTTACACAATTTATAGACAGAGAAAAAACTCTTTCCTTTTATGTGAGTTAAATATGTATTTTAAATGCATACCAGCCACTGTGGCTTAGGATGACTTCATCTCATATGTGAAACGATAGAAGCAATGAAATTCAGCCCAAAGATTACACATGTAGTGGAGTGGCCTCTAGCCCTTGCTCTTCTGAAACTCACATTTTTTTGGTGACTAGATAAGTTAAAATCTCGGTCTGATGGGGCATGCTGATGTGATCCAAGAAAGTTATGGCAAACTGCAAAATGCATTGATCTCCTTGGGATCAAGAATTTTTTTTGACTGGAGGTCCATGCTCTTGCAGCAGGTTGTGGACAGCAGGTGGAAGGCATTTACAAACAAAAGATAAGATCAGGCAATTTCACAAATGCAATAAGATAGCTCAAGAATGATTGTGCGGTACACAGAAGAATGGATGATGCCTTTCGTGGAGATCTTTAATAAGAATTCTATATCTAAAGAAGGACACTCTAATTCAAACATTTAGCAAGTCTAAGGTGTTTTATGTTTCTTGATTAAAATTGGGGGATTGTCTGATTACCAGAAAAAACATTGGAGCATTTTTCAATTAATCATTTGATTAACATTAGGTATTACTTACGAAGTTTTTGCCTTTGGATTTCCGTTGCCATGATTGCCATTTCTTTACCAAGTCAATTTCTCATTGCTTCTTAGTTCTTGCGATTACTATTACCTAAATGACAAATGATATTAGCGTTTTAATATGTGTGTATATAGATAGCTAACAAAAGCATCAACTCAATACACAAATATTTTGATTAGCATCTGCATAAATCTCAAGGAAAATTGAAAATTTTCTGTTTTAAATTATCTTTCTTTTATGAGCAGTAGAATCGGGAAAAAATTCCTAAAATTGGAGGGTACCAAAATGTCATTTAAAATAAAGCTAAAAGGAACCATCGTAAAGAAAGAAAATAAATTTAAACAGAATACCTGCATCATGACATGGAAGCATATGCATGAAGAAGTCTGTAACTTGGTCTGAGCAATCGAGTTTATGAGTTCTTATCATCAAAGTCAATCAAGTTCAAGCTAATATCGATCTTTATAAGGAATCCATTAAATACCCTGGTAGATTTGAACCAATAAGACAAGAGTCACATTTGGAATCTTCAACAGTCAATCTATAAATTATTGATGCAACAAAAAATAGAATTATAAAGATAGGAGTGGGTAGTTATCTATTAGGACTAGAATTACTTAAGAAGTGGGAAAGTGTGATATGTGGTTGACTTCTGTTTTTTCTTTTACAAATGAGCACAGCAGAGGATTCCTTTTAGGGGTTTAATGCAGGATAGGGGATAGGTTTAGGGTTTCGGTTTCTTTGTGTTCCATATAAATGATAGTCTTGACCAGGAAAAAATTTAGAGAAAAAGAGAATTAAGTTTTTTTGAGTCTTGTGAAGAGAAATTTTGAGGGGTTGACTACCTTGTAGCTCATTGACAAAGACATTTTTTCAACCTCCTTCACAGTTTTTTTTAAAAGTTTCTCACTCTTTCCCTACATTAATTATTTAGACCAAACTTTATACATAATCAGGTATGGCCTAGAAGATTGGAGCCTAGCATTGTCCAATCTACATAAGAAATTTACCTAGGGTTGCACCTATTTATCTAAAGACTTGTGTCATGGCAAAGGAAAGATAAAAATTCAATCCACCAAAATGCAACAGAAAATGATAATGCCTCTCATCAGATGCTTTAATGTAGCAGAAAATGCAACAGTTGAGTTTTTGTTGCAGTCTAAGGGGATGCTCAATTTTAAAACTATTAAAAAGTTGAGATTGCTTCATAATTTTTTTTATATGAGTTAGATGTTTTTGTCAAAGATTAGGGCGTTTTTGTTTGCCATAATCTCTATTCCATATTTTCCCTTTTTGGATCTTTTAAATGTCCCAAATTACCTATAAAGCAGTTTTTTTTTTTTGAATCCATTTTTCTCTACATTTTAAGCATATCTTTACTCTTTAAAGCTCATTTTGGTTTTATTTTACTTTTTAAGAAACCTTTTTTTTTCAAAATTTCTTAGTTTTTCCTAATTTAATTAGGGCTTTTTGCCCAATGCATGACTCGGCTGAGGCGAGTCTCGGCACATTGGACAGTACAATTATTTTTCAACTATTGTGCACTTGAATGTCAGCCATTATGCTTACATAGTTCGTGAGTAGATTCAATGTGAATGTTAACAATTTTCTGCCATATTCTTTCGAATTCTAAATTTGATTAGGTTTCCTGAATCTTGCATTTCTTGTCCAACTTCTCTTCTTTTCTTTTTTCTGGTCAAATTTTCTCTTATTTCCTTTTATAAATATGAATCATTCCATAGAAATAGAAGGAATTTCACAGTACCTCCATTAAGCAACAAAAAATTGCTAACTGAAGTCTAACAATATTAACTCCCAAAACCTTCTGAGGATGTTCGATGGCAGGTTCAACTTTCTCATAGGTAGAGCCAAACGAGATGATTCCATGAATTTGAAAGTGTTGAGTTGAACCAATTGGTAATAAACATGGGAATGAAAGAACCACAAGTTATTGACTTTCAGAAAGAAATAGAAATACAACCACAAGATATTGGCATGAAATGGAGCAAGTTAAACTCACATTGTTTTGCCCCTTGCGGTTCCATACTTCCAAATAGAAGCCAAGTTCTTCTCTCGCCCTTGGTGTAACCACTTCTGTAGGCCATATAATGAGACTGACGTGTCAACCAGCTTCAAGTAATCCATTTTCAGCATAGTTATTGCGAACTAGAATCAATGTATGTTTAAAACATTGGTAAAAATAATTATATAATAATAAATAGTAAAATACATTTTAAATAAATAACTGAGAGAGATCATCAGTATCAAAACCAAAACAAATGAGAGAAATCTTATTTTCCTATAACCACCTTAATCTTTCTTTTTAGCAAAGAAGAGATGGAATAATCAACAGGATCTATACATACCAATTGTTACAACAGGGACAAAAATTACCTACATTTCCAATCCATAGTCAAGATCAGAATGAAGGCCAATATGTCCTCAAGTGCTTAAATATTAATGTGTTGGAATATGATCGATAAGCCAGCAGACTCTGGAATTGTCTAAAAGGACATATACAATCCTCTGATGTCAGAAAGAAGACCAGCTAACCCATCTACAATATCAATTTAAAATAGATAATTTAGATAGGATAATGTGTAGCCCATGTCAGCCATGCCACTAAGTCCAATTCAGCCAAATGGAACAACAAGAGCAACCACTCCAGAAGCAACTCACTCTTTAATTTGTTGAAAGTAGCTGGCAACCATGGGTATTTAGCTTTCTCATGATCCACTAGCTGCAAGCCACTCTATATGCGATAGGTAGCAACCCTCTCTCTTTCATGTCATCTTGCAACCTTATAGCTTCACTCATGTTGTTTTGTTTCAAATACCCTCTAATCAAAACATCATAAACAGCAAAGTCAGGCTCAATGCCTCTGCAGAGCATATCATTGAAGACTAGCTCAGCTTCAATCATGAAACCTTTATTTGCTAACCCCCATACAAGAGAAGTAAATGTAAGTAAGTCAGGAGTTATGCCCTTTTCAAGCATAGCTTTCTTCAATTTTAATGCTTCCACCATATTCCCTTGTTTGCACAGTTCAGCAATCCAAGATGTGTATACAAACTTGTCTGGAATCAAACCAGCTTCCAACATCTCCTTAAGAACTAGTTCAGCTTCACTTAAACTCCCTTCCTTACAAAGCCCATCAATCAGTACAGTATATGTAACTTCATTTGCTGGTGCATTCGCCTGGTTCAATCTCTTGAGATGTTCCTTTGCCTCATCTAATCTCCCATGCTTGCAGAGGCCATCCATGAGTGACGAAATCATTACAGTGTCAAAATCAAAACCTCTCTTGAGCGTCTCATTGACAAAACCAAAAGCCTTTATCATGTTACCTTCTTTGAAATGGGCATCAATAAGAGTGGTAAATATTAACTTATCTGGCCATAAACCTCTCTTCTCCATTTCAACCATGAGTCCTTCCGCTTCACACAACTGTCCTTTCTTACAAAGGCCCCAAATAATGGCCCCATATGCCTGAACATCAAGTTTGATCCCTTGATGTAACATTTTCTTCACATAACCCATTGCCTCATCCACATTTCCTCTCTTGAAATGCCCATCTATCAAGGAAGTGTATATGACAGCGTTGGGTATCACCCCTCTCTCCAACATTTGCATAAAGAGTTGTTCAGATCTTTCCATCAGGCCTTGTTTGCAAAGACCATTCAAAAGCACATTATAAGTAACTACGCTTGGAGAAATAGAGGACTTCAACATATTGTCATATAACTTGAATGCCTTATCGATGGATCCAGATTTGCAATACCCATCAATAAGAGAAGTAAAGCTCACAAAATTAGGTGATATTCCAACAATCGACATGTCACGAAAAGCATAATCAGCCTCATCCAACTTGTTCAATTTACAAAGAGCATCAATAAAAGTACTGTAAGTAACAACATCGGGCGTATAGATCTTCCACATTGAAGCAAGGAAAACCAAAACCTCCTTCAATTTTCCATATTTGCAATATCCATTTATCAAAATGTTGTATGTAATTACATCTGGTTTATAAGCGCCTCTCTGAATTGTGTTGAATACTGAGGTAGCTTCATTCAATTTCCTGAACTGACAATACCCATTGATTAAAGAATTATAACTCACAATATCTGGTTCACATTGAATGTTGGGCATGATACTTAGAAGATGCTGGGCTCCACTAAAACTACCAAATTTGCAAAAAAGGGAGATAATTGCATTGCAAGATGATAAATGCGGGTGGTAACCATTTCCCACCAGATCAGAGAATATTTTCAGTGCCAATTGTTCACAATTTGACCTCATCAATTGATGAATCAGCCTGCTAACCTCAGGAAATCTCTTGCCTCTTCTGGCTTGAGCAAAGAATTGCAAGGCTTCTTCGATCATTTAAATAGAAAGACTAGCACATTCGAGATGATCCCTATTCTGTGTGCTTAGTCTAGTTAAATATCCAGATTTCTCGTATCATGAATTAATAAGATTGATCATTCATCCAATGAAGAATCTTAAGAAAACGGTCCAGCACTTTTTCAAATGTTCACAAGCAATAGAAACCTAAAAAAACGCCCACTTGATAAAGAACACAACCAGAAAAATTCTCATCATATACGCAATTTTTCCAGAGCTGTATAAAATTGAAGCCGAAGTTGCTATAAAAATTTGAAAAGGATAAAACCCTAGAAGTTATGAGCATGATGTATATGGTACCACTCAACAAGCACATCCGCTCTAAGTTTCCAGACTGAGAAGATCGAAAATGGAAGCCCACCCGCTTTGCCTTTGTAGGGATGCCGATTCATGGAGTACAGGGAGCTCTGTCAAATTAAGGGAAGGCGAGAGAAATCGGGAGTGAGGAGTGAACTGTGAAGTGTTAAAAAGACAAGGATAGAGAGTGTAAGAAAGTAAGAAAGGGTTTACGTCCGTATCTTACTTTTAAGGGTTCCGCATCTTCCTCTCCCGTTGGATCATCTGTACACTTACTCCCTCGGGCACAGGCTAAGTTGGGAATAATTTTTTATCCTAAAATGAAGATGTTTTGATTTCAAATTAGAGCGGACCTCAAAAATTTTACTAGAAACTGGGTTTTTTTTATGCCGAAATATTCTCAAAATGTTCATCTCATAACTGAAGATCCATGGACATGAGAAAAAATAGATTTAAAGTTTTGAAATAGTGCATCTTGTAATGCATTTTTGGACCGTTAATTTTCAAGATTTTTAAGTTTTCATATATTTGCTCGATCTACACTATTTTTGAAGTTTTAAATTTTATAATTAAAGATGAAAATATATTTTAAGGCTATCATAAAGATTTCCAACATCGAAACCACATTTATCAATACTATTTGAAGGTGTGCTTTATTTTGTTTGTTTAGAACATTGGTTCTATACAGACCGGACCTTTTATATATATACACACACCAAAATACCTCTACAAGTTTAAGGGTTTAGTAATCTTTTATCATAAAAAATATTTTTTATTTATTAGACTTGAAGGAGTCTAAAGTCCCATCACCTCGAATTTTAAAGGTCTGAAGTGCTCTGAAGGTGACTGTAACTTTCTCTCTTTTGTTTTGGGCACAAATCTTACATGATCACCTAGTGTGCCTTTTCCATGCACAAGTATGTGCAAGAAATTGCTGAACATTAGAGTGTATAAGCTCTCGAGCAAGGATAACAAATGGGAAAAAATTTTAATTTAGCTAAGGATTGTATATTATACTGTCATTTACTTTTCATACAAAGAGGTCACAATTACTTACAACTATCTGATGTGAAATTTGATAGTTTGAATGTATCACAAAGTTCAAGAAAATTACTTTTGAAATGTGAGCTTGATCATTAGAAAAAATGCCACCATCTAATTTTACATATTGGTTAATAGTAATTGGGACCACCTTGTACCAAAGATAAATGGTCTTATTATGTACTTTTCCTATAGATAAATATTTGGATTTTCATTACTAAATTCGCTTTAGTTTTAAAGTTCAAGATATTTAAGTGGTGTTTGTTGCATGTAGTTACGTTTGTTGGATTTATGTGGCCTTCAAAAGCTTTATGAGAGCTTGTATAAGCATTGTATATAGTAAAACATAAACTCAATGAGAGTGTAGTCATCTTGTGGACCATACTAGGTAAATGTAATTTGCCGATACTCGAACTAGGCTTGACATGCTAGCCCAGCCGAGTTGAATAAACCCAATGTACATAAGCATAGATATATAACCGATGAGAGTTTAGTGAGTTAGCTCTTGATGAGGTCGGAGTATGCCACGATGAGAGCTGAGGGACTGTGTGACCATTATGTGTGATGAATAGTCTATAAAGACATGATTAAAATATCATCATTGTATCATCACACGGCATGTACATAGATAGTCGTATTGAGATAGTAATCCACCATTGAGGGTAAAGTGTTTACATGTGCGAGAGATTACGTTTATGCACCATAAAGTCATGGTTATATCATAGTCTAGCAGATCATGGTTTGTCTCTAAGGAAGAACCTGAAATCCACATACTGATATTACATCCTCTAGCGAATTGATTGACTTCAGCGGTCTAATCATGAACCCCTACAGTGGACTGTAGGTTATAGGAACTGCAATATCAGTTTGAGAAAGCTAGTGTGGATTGTGGTCCATAGTTGAAAGTGGAGTGCTCATCTGTGTTGATGAAATCCTATACCTATTCGGATCCGATTCCCATCAAAATTGATTTAATTTAATTAATTATATGTTATTTGATTTTTATAATGTTTATTTGAATTTTTATGAATCTTCTGATATTTTAATTTTGCCATTTGGTTTTATAAATCAATATAATTTCATTTTCTAAAGTTTTAAATAAATTAAGAAGATTTAAGTCCTAAAAATTCAAATTTTCTTATTTCTAAAAATATATGAGACCTACCATTATACATGGGAGGCCTTTTAATATCTTTGTTGGATTGGGTAAGGCCCATAGGAGGCCACAATTTGCTAAAATATTGTGAGAGGCATCTCGTACTAGTTAGCTTTCATTTTGTGGAGAGAAGCCTACTTGCAATAAATGAATGAAATATGCGATTTTAGAATTGAGAATCAAGAAGGTTCGATTGATAAATAATGAATGAATATTTACTATTAGATAACGTAAATAAATATTTTCATTATTTAACTTATTTGATGGGAATATGTTTAGGGAGGGGAGGATGAGGTTCTAGCACCTTCTTAGTATATTGGTGGTGAATCCAATGAATGAATGACTCATATTTCTCACCGTACAAGTCTCCTTAAATTGACTATCAATATTTGCTCATACGATTTATGGCAAACCCTAATGCATGAAAAATCTATAAAAAAATATCTTTCCTATCCCATAATCTCTCTTCTCTCTCTAAAGGGCACATTCTGCCTTAGGATAAGATCACTCTCTCTCTCAAGCTAATCTAAAGGGCACACTCTACCTAACCTATCTCTCTCTATCTCAAACCCTAGCTAGCTTAAGGGGTCACGCCCCAACCTAACCCTATATCTCTCTCTATATTGGGTGGCACACCTTAACTAGGTTAATCTCTCTCTCTCTCTCTCTCTCTCTCTCTCTCTCTCTTATGGGGTTCTAAAGAACTTAGATTGGTTTGTGATTATTTGGTAACAAAAGGATCATCCCTTAGCTAATAGTTTTCTCCTTTCTCTTTTTGATTTCTATCTCTCATAGGCATCAAGTCAAAAGGCTTGAGTTAATCTAACGCATTGAGGTGGGTGCTTCTAGATCGAGATCTACATGCATTGATTGGGTTTTGACATAAGAATGAGAAATCAAAAGATCGATCAAAGATCTCGAGCACCATCAGAAGGAAGAGACTCAGTGTGGGGTGTACTCAGTCCGGTTGAGGTAATCTCCAGCACCATCTTTTATTTCTTTCATATTTACTTATTGTGTTTTTTATTCCCAATCATATATTGTGTCTTTTCTTTGTTATCGAAAGAATGGCTTTGAATGGCTTCAAGTTTTTGAGATCCTAGTTGTATTTTATTTTTTTTTACTTTATTTGAAGTTGTTTTATTGCAAAAGGACTACTTTAACGTGATCCAAGCAAAAAAGAAAAAGAAAAAAATTGAAAAAAGAAGAAGAAATATATAATCCGGCTAGATCACGTTATTCATTCTTTCATTAGTATCACAATTATTGATACTTGTTGCCATTAGTGGTCTTTTCTCTTTATTTGAGTCTAGATCTTGCTTGGGAATAAGATATGATTGCTCGCATTTTTTTGTGGTCAAGTGATACACTTTTGGAAGAATTATAGGAATATTTGAAAAACTTAAAAGGCACTTGTGTAATGGTATTTTGTGCTATTTTGAAGCAGTGATATGGCAAAGATAATGAGGTATTTATCTATTACATACTTCAATGATATTATATTTTTTTGAGAGCAGAATCTCCCTGCAAAATTTCAGTGGGAGATGGGGGAATTGAGAGTTATAGACTCATCAATAAAGGTTGTCAGTTTTGACCCTGCAAAATCTAAGAACTGTCTATTGAGTTCCATAAATTTTTTTACCAATTATATGATTTTATTTTTATTTGAAATTTGATTGTAATTCATCAAATTACGTATATTTTCAAATAAAAATAATTTCATGAAGAAAACTCTTGTGGTTTGAAAAATATGATCATTTTATTGAAGGGTTTGCAAGTGTTGTTTGCCGCAATAAAAATTGTTTCAATGATTTGGAAGTCATGATTTTATTTTCATTATTAACATAATATTTTAAGGTCCATACTAAGTTTATAGACTTTCATTTTGTGTCTAGTTTCTAATAAAATTTATTTGAGAGATAAATATCTATAGGAAGTAAGGAATAAAAATTTTTGATTGAAGAGAGATCATCCTGAATTTTCTGCAGTTTTGTGTGTTTGCATTAAGATATAAATATTTATATTTATCAAGTCTACTTAACATAGTAATATAAGGCATATAGAAATATACTTGTTGTCATTTTGTGTCTACTTTCAAACAAAATAGGCTTGAAAATGAAACTCCTTCTGGGTGGATAGAAAAGAGAATTTTATAAGATAGTGTTCATCCTAAAATTTTACAGTATGATTTATTTTGTGATGTGAGCGTTACTTATTTATTTATCTAAAAAATGTGTTATTTAGGATTCATACTATGATTTTATACTTTGATTTTGAGTCTAGTTTCAAAAAAAAATATTTTAGGAAGAAATCCTTTGTGAATTGAGATAAACAAATATTTTATTGAGAAATGCATAACCAGATTTTCTGCTGAAAAATTTGTATTGTGACGTGAATGTCACTAAATCGTAGAATCACTAAGTGATGGGATTTGAGGATGGAACTGCGTACTATTTTATATTTTTGAGTCTATTTCAATACTCAAAATAATTATGAGATAAACTATTTATAAGTTGAGAGATATCATATTTTTATCATAGGATGCTTATATTATATTCTGCAGTAAATTAAAAGATGTGGCTTGTTAATGCATTGAACTAGAATTAAAAGAAAGAAATATAAACTTACCTACTAGGGGGTGGGTGACTTGGTAATTGGAAGAGTTGGAGTTGTGGCGTTTCAAGGCCTTTAGTCCACCATTCACAATAGTTCTTGGTCACAATGGGAGTGATGTGGAATGTTGCACTTACCGGATTTTTGTGAACTGGGATTTGAGAAGTTATTGATTTAGAACTGAGAAGTTTGAGGGTCTCCTCTAGTAAGAGTTGGTATGAGAATGCCTCATGAATGTATTAGTCAGGCCACGTGTGATAGGATCAGAAAAATCGAGGAAGCATATGTATGCAAAGAAGCCCTGAATTGCCCCTATTCATACTATCCTAAGAGCTCCAAATCCAGGCTTTAGCAGTAGAAATTGGATTTATGAAAAATATGTATACCATCCTCTACAATTGCAATCTCAAGTAACCCCTTGGGTGCATGGAGAAACCATGGACTCCCTCTAGGTTTAAGGAAAAATAAGTTTAATATATTCTTTACCTTTTTCGTTGTCTAAACTATAACATTTATGCCTTTCTTTTCAATAATCCCATCTTGTAAATGAAAATTGAGATACCTTTAAACTGCTCGGGAGGTTCATGATCGAGAGAGAGATGGGTTTGGAGAGAGAGAGAGAGAGTATGAGTGGGAGGAATAAATTCACTAGTGATGAAATGAGAGAAACAAAGGGGAACTTTTCTAGGGCTTAGGTGAATGTGTTATTAGAAAATAAAATAAAAGATAAATATTAGAATCTGGACAATAAAACATACGCAATGGGCGTTAAATGTCATTTTTTTTTTAAACTTAGAGGGTGTTCGTAGGCTTTATGTGGACCTGCAGGATTATTTGGGATTATGAGAAAGAGAGAAGAGAGAGGGAGAGGGAGGGAGGAATAAATTCACAGGTGAGGAAATTAGAGAAACAAAGGGGGGAACTTTTCTAGGCCTTAGGTGAATGTCTTATTAAAAGAATTAAAAAATAATAAATATTATAACCTGAACAATAAAACAGACACAGTGGGGAGTTAAATATCATTTTCTTTTAATTTAGTGGGTGCTTTATAAGGATTTGAAGGCTTATTTGGGATTATAATTACATAGTGTAGTATATGTATTTTTCCCTTGGGGGCTTCAATATGGAAAGTTTATGTGGAATTATAATTACACAGTGGAATATATGCATTTTCCCTTAAAATGGCTTTAATGTGGATTACTTTTCACATGGGGGGAATGAGGTAACTTTCCCTTAAATTTACAGGTGACTAGAAAGTGCATTGGGTCCCCAACTAAGCGAATGCAGGGGGTTATGCTCAGCCAGCGACGACAAATAGTTTTCATCATATTATTCCTGCTATATAATATTGGAAAAACAAAGTTCCCCTCCCTTCGTGATACTCAACACAATGAGCTTCAAAGTTACCGAGATATACATATAATGGAAATGTTCCTCACGAAAACCTAAAATGGACAGCACTAAAACTACATCAAAATTAGTTTAACATTTATTTTCTTCTTTATATTCATGTTGGCCATAGTAGAGATTCCAAAACCCTAAATTTTTGGATCCAAAATCCATCTCGAAGATTGGATTTGGAAGGACTCGCGTAAATGGATGAGTTAGCGGGCTCATCAAAACCTTATCTATTGTTAAATGGAAGAATATGTTATAGGTTTGGGGATGCATTTCCACAGCTGCGTCCCCCAAATGCATCGTGGAAGAGTATTTCATACATTTGGGGATGCAGTTTAATAGCTGCGTCCCCCAAACACATGAATCATCCACTTGAAGGATGTCAAAAAAAGGGTGTGGTTTGTATAAAGTTGCAACCTTAAACATTCCAATTAAGATGCACTTCCAAATTTTATTATTAAATGTACTTTTGGAGTAAAAAATTGTTAAGATTATCTAAAAATCTATTTTCATCTCTGATTATAAAATTTTAAATTTTGAAAAGTAGTTAGAGTCAAATAGATATATAAACATACGAAAATCTTGATAATGCACGGTCTAGATAATACGTCGCAAGATGCATTATTTATGGGGGCTTAGTTTTATTTTTTTTATATTCGTACACCTGGATATCAAGATGATCAATTAGAAGGTTTTCAACATTAAAACAACTTTTTTTGATGAATTTTTGAGATGCATCTTTATTTCTACATTTTAAGGTTGCAACCTTTTATAAACTTTTTATGTTAAAAAATGGTAGCTCCACAAAACCGCATTTAGAATAGATAAAAATTATTATTTTTTTTACAATTTATTAATTTTTTTCAATTTCATGCTCAATATAGTTGAAATTCTCAACCTCAAAAATTTTACATCCAAAATCTATCCCTAGCATAAATTTTGGAAGGAGGGATCGTATAAATACACAGTCAATGGACTCATCAAAAACTTATCCATGTTAAAATTACCAGCCTGTAGATGTATTATGTAGGGCACACCTGACAAATTTGCAAAAATGGAGGGCAATGACGACGATATGTTTTCTAGATAAAAGGTTTGGCGGGCTGAAAAATTGAATAGAGAGCCCTAGGCCGCCTAAGGTTTCTGAGTGATCAAGTTGCAGAGAGACAATGACAATCGAATGCCTGGTTCTAGGTAAGCCATTATAAATTATTGTCAGAATCCCAGTCTCTTAGATTTCTCTTTTAATCTCACTTCATGCAAAAATGGCTGGAAAATTTCTGGAAAATGGATTCAGGAGCTGGACAAGAGGTGGGCAAGAGCTGCGTTGTTGTTACAACGGGTGGAAAGAGAATTATGTTCGACTGCGGAATGCATATGGGTTATCAGGATCGTCGACGCTACCCTAATTTCTCATTGATACCAGGTTCAAATGACTTCGACACGGCGATTACTTGTATTATCATAACTCACTTGTAAGCATGGTTTCTCTTGATTGATTTCAGTTCTAGTTAGAAATTCATGTTTATTAGAATGGATTAAACATGTTTTGGATCATTTACTAGATATTGTTTATTTTTCAGTCACTTGGACCATATAGGTGCGCTTCCCTACTTTACGGAGGTTCTGGGGTATCAGGGTCCCATATACATGACTGTAAGTGCATTTTGGGTTTCACTGCTTGTATATCTGGTTCCTTGAATGATTTCCATCATTACATATACTTAAGCATCTATCTTTATGTGCAGAATTCATGCTATTGTACAATTTTATATGCTCTGTGAGCAATCGTTATTATTTATTACTTGTTATAACATTGCTCTTTAGAATCAAGAGAACTAGTTGCTCTTTCTATTTATCTATGATATTGAATGCTGAATCTCAACCTTCAACCTTTGTAGACCCGATCCAGGTGAACATTTGGCAAGTCTGTCCAGGATTTGAGTGGGATTACTCTGATATGTGGGGTGGCACTTTTATTTTTTGCTTATAACATCACATCATGTATTTATTTTTGATGAATTATCATGTCTTCATTGAATTAAAAAAAATGAAATTACAAGTATAAGAAATTTACAAAGTTGAGTCTATGAAAAGACATTAAATTTGAAATGAGATACCATCCAGGTAACTTTTTGAACCTCATTTCTAGCCCAAAAGGTTCACAACTTCTCTGCACTCCCTCCAACAGTTTTGGAAAGTAATCTCTAAGTTGCTGGTCAGTGCAAACGTTCCTCAAAAAATTGGCATATTCATCATGGAGCTGCAATTTTTTGGCAGCTAACCCGTAACATCAATCAGATCCTCTCAATGACTGCCTTCTTCCATTTCAAGCACCTAGTCCTACCTATGTCTGTACGGAGGGCTCTTGCCTCTGCCTTGGGTGAGTCACATGTTTCCAAGGGGCCTAGCTATATTATAACAATGCTGCTCTGACAATCCCTAAGCTCTCTTTCAACCCCTGCAGTCCCTCGTTATCCTTGCAGGCCCTAAGATTAGAAATTTTTACCTAATAGTGATACTTAATAACATGATCACCTGCACATCTAGTTCAACTAAGTGGAGCTGTAGAGACACATATGGAAGGCAAAAACTTAAAAGTAAACCAGGAAAAGAAAACAAGAAAAGAAAGGGCATGTAAGGAGAGAGGGGAGAGGTTAAGGTAATTGTGTAGAAGGGATGGTGTACTTCTATTTTACACTATATTAGTTCCTCTAGTATGTTGTTGGTTCATATAAAAAGTGGTGGACCATAATATAATTATACAAACCTTCTTAGTGAAGAAACTGTGACTCTTCTTTATCGGTGAAAAAGATCTCAGGTGATTATATAATAAATACACAACTTGAACTCTCCCATGCCACTTGGACTCAATAGGCTGCTATGTCCGGAAACCCCCCACTAGGGATTTTGTATTTGCCACTAATTAAAATTAATTTATAATTGATTCAGTCTTTCTATAAATCAATTGTAATTGATTTATTATTAATTATGTATAATGTGTTTATTTTTTATGGTTTTGCTAGTCTTTCTCATTTTTCTTGAATTTTGATAAAGTGATATTCAACCAGGTTTCTATTTTTCTATAATTTGAATTTTTTTTTACAATTTAAATCTTTTATATAATCATTTCTTTTGTTTTTCCATTTTTGCCCTATTCCCTTTTCTTTTTGATTCTTTTGCCTCTTTGGGAGGCTCAAGCGAGTGACTTGACTCAAACTCGCTAGAGTCACTCGGCTCACCCAGGGGGCAAGTTTCGAGCTTGGGTCGTGTTTTAAAATATTGATTTTTGTCGATTCTCCAATTTGATAGATATATTACGGGATACTTGTTTTGCAAATGACGAGGGGAATGTAGCCACTTTTTATTATTATAATTGAATCCTATTAATAAGGGTTGCTTTGGATGATGATACGTTTGAGGCTATGAGTGGATCAAAGGCACGTTATTGTCCATGTTAATGGGTTTTGAGGTGTAGTTGTATTTTTAAAGCTGGAGAGAGTGGTCTATTTACAATGACTTTATGAGCAGTTGACCATCATCTTAATAACCCAGGAAGGTAATGGTACCCTACCCAACAAGCAACCTTATAAGTTTTTCCTGTCTACATTAAAAAATCCTTAGTCGTACTTAGGCTTAGGCCCTCATGTAGCAACGAAGATATGATGTAAGTTAAGTGTCACTGCAACATTTGATTTTAATAGA